ACTCCACCCATTCGCTCTGACAAATGGCTAACTCTCGAAACGTCAGCTTTATTAAATCTTTAAGGTGGCCAATTCATGCACATTGTCAACTCATTTGAAAACATCAAGTTATGACGTATTTATCAACATACAACCATAATGTCTTGAATGAAGTAGAGCAAAAAAAATCAATTGAAAATTTGTCTGCCGTAATTCTATCGAGTGAACAGATCTATAACTTGAAAAGGCTGGATCAACACCCAATGACACTTGAAAAAAATCGATAGATACCTCAATGAATAGACTTGAACCGGCCTGGTTGTCACACCTCAGCAATCGAAAACAATCCAGTTTACCCCAAGATACAGAGAAAAATTGTTTACAAGATTTATTCTGGTTGTTTGATAGGAATTCAGTGGGTATTCGAAGGTCTTTAAAAACTAACAAATGAACACCGCCAATTATGGGACACCAGATCCCTTGAACATGGTAACTTTGCCAAATAATTACGTACGACTGCTGTGGGTCTCAGCTTTAGTCAAAAAGGAATATGTTTGGAATGTCGTTCCTTCCTCTCAGTAACGTCCATTATTATATTTCTTTATCTTCTGTTAATATGAAGAGGAATTGAATGTTTTTAAAAAGCAAACAAGGAAGTTTTAAGTAGTTTGTTCCGTAAACGTATATGTATATGCATGTGTATGGATAAACGACATGTTATGATGAACACAGTCGCTCTGGGAAGTGCAAACGCTCGAAACTTTAGCTTTAAAAACTCTTAACGATGGCCAATTTGCATTATCAACTCAGTTAATAAAATAAATTATCTTGTTGTACCCCCCCCCCCCCCAAACCATGCAGCAGGACAGTTTATTTAGAAACTAAACCCTCTTTTCATTTGCTATGATGAGTAAGCAATAATCTCCAAATTACTTGAATTTCGTTTATTATAACACGTTTTGTTGAAGTCTTCTTACACTACTTTGATAAATTTTTGAATAGTACAATCTCAAGTTGTTATAAGTAGCGCAATTTCAGATTCTTGATATGGAAATAAATCACAACCTTCGTCGATTAAGTGTCAACTAGCTTTACTTTAGAGTCGGTCAGTCCCTTGCCAAATGCTGAATGTATAATTCTAACTAAGCCTTTTCAGCAAAACTACAAATGATATCAACCAATCGCTTCCTAAAAAGGTCAAAAAGAAAAATCCATTTGTACACCTTTGAAGGAACTGAAAATTGCCTTGGCAAGATGATAGCACAGTTGCACAGAGCGGTCAAGCATGAAGAACACAGAAAACAGTGATGATTCCGCTGGTGAACCTACACCTATAATATAAGATACGAGGGGGTGGGGAAGGGGGAGCCAATGAATGATGGACTTGAAAACTTCGCTGGAAAGCTTACAGGTAGAAATAAAAACAGAGAGGAAATTTCTTAAGAATAGTTCGGACACCTTATTTCTCTCAGATAGCTCAATGAATTAGTTATGCAAGTGAAACCAAGACAGCAGTATTACATGATTGCTTGAGACTTCCGCCTTCATAATCACACGCCCTTTAGCTTGCGTCAAACGCTACAAATTGTTATGTATAGCATTGTTCTTAATTACTGGACAAGGTTTATCTGAGGAGAAGAGAGAATTAAGAAAGGAATGAAAAACAGAAAGACAGAGTTAAAGAAGAAAAGAAAACTTCCTGTCTCTATTGTGAACATCCGATTTGACATGATATCTGATTTGACACAAAATTGTTGAGATCAGAAACACATGTTTAAAAATAAATTCGAATGTGTATATTCTTGGATTTCCCACAAAACTTAACACGGTTTAGAATCCGTGAGAAGAAGTACTCCGCCAACATGATCAATCTGCTGGTAATTTCTTTTGTACAATAGATGCAAGAGCTACTTGTACATGTATCCCGAGGGGCTGTAACGTGACCAAAATCACAATTTTTCAAACTTCTGTTCTTTTAAAACAACTGCACGTGATATCTCAAGCCTGAGGTCGAATCACAATTCAATGAATTTAGTGAAGCGGCAAGAATAACGTTTTACGCATGTTACTTGCACAAAGAAACTTTTATGTCCCCACAGGTGTGTTTAGTGCAGCGCAGGACCTGAAGATGGAGTGGGTTGTCGTCTCTAATGAAATGAGTTTACTTTCCCTTGTCACCTTTGGCTAATTTTCATTACTGCACAGGTCCTGGGTATGAGTAACAGCCGAAACTCTTACGGCGTGACATAACGAAAGTGTTCATCCAGCAGAGTAGCGAGCGATTTGTTCGTGATTTTTCCTCTGAGATTACAGGTTAGTTTCATACCTTTTTTATGTAAAGAGCGTTTTGATCGACATAATTTGTCAGCCACTTTTTCTTCAGATAGTGATGTCAAACTAGATTTTGCAATTGTTACGAGTCTTAAATTTTACAAAAAGTTGCATTGTCGAATGCCTAGTTAATAATGTTCATGAGTGACCCATTATAAATAACCGGAGAAAAACTTCTCAGCATTTACTGTAGGCATCAAAAGAACAAGTTTTTAAATGCCTGATCGATCTCAGGTCTGAAACAGATAAACATACATAATTTCATCCTTATACTTACACGTTCATTACGCTTCGTACTGGAGACCTCCATAAATCAATATTAATTGACTTCTTTTCAAATTTTCAGCGGTGATTTCTGGCTTAGTTGCATTCAGCACACTTCCAATCAGCTCTGTTACCGGTGTTATAATGCACTAGGGAAAACATGGCGATAAAGCACAGAGTGTACTTATGCCCTCAATAATATTTTTCATCAGTAGAATTGAAAATTTAATTTTTTTGGGACGATAGGGAAAGAAATTATTTCCTCTCTCCCCAGAAAACAAAATTTACATATCTTGCTTTCAGTTTCCAACTGCAACTGGATTATCTTTCACATGAACTGTGACACGTTTTCTCTAGAGTGAGGATTACTCATTAAGAATAATCTTATGAAATTTAAAAAACGATCTCTGGCTAAAACTTTTAGAAATACGAGCTTTCGGCTGTTTGCGCTACAGCCTTCAACGGGTAAAATGATAAAAAGGTAAAAAATACTAGGTGTGAAGTACAAAGTAAAAATTAAAAATGCTGACAACTAAGAATGTTTGTTAAAAATAATGTTGTATTGTCCGGGCAAAGGACAGGAATTGTTGTCCGCATTGGGAGTTAACTTGGAATGCCACGCTGCCAGTCTCACCAATATAACACCATGAACAGTCACCACAAGGAATTTTATCCAACATTTACACTTGAAGAATCACTGAAATGACATGTTCACCTTTTTTTAATATTACCTTCAATTTATTGGAAACTGTGACAAAGAAATCATTGCCAACCAACAAGCAACTGCCACTTATCAATGTAAAAATAGGGTGGTTATGTTGCTAACAAACATTTGACTTACATAATTGAAAAGGGAATATCAAAAAATGCTACTTTGTGCCTTAACTCTACTTAACAGTATATCAGCTTTTGTTTTCTTCCTTTCATATTCCAGTCTGACAGCATTACCAAGAAGTGAATGATTTCACTACATAAGCATCATAGACAAGTATTTGAAGTATCAAAAATTCATGAATAGGTTATAGCTAATAAATTGACTGACAAAGTATGATGTAAGTGAAGTCATGCTGCTAGTTCTTTCCCTGAATGTATGCTACATTTCTTGTTCAGAGTTTCTTTGTTTATGATTGCTATGCTTAGGGTATTTTTTTGGTTAGACTATAGGTTACACTAGCCTCCAGCCTGATGGTTAATTATTAGAAATCAAAGAAATTCTTCAAGTTTTTGGACAACTAGAGTTAGACCTTCACTGTAAATGTCAAGTCCAGCTTGACTTGATGGTTTAATTGTTTACATTAACCTGAGAAAATACAAAATCAGTGATCCCCATGCCATAGGCCACTTCAACAAGTGCAACTACAGCTCCATCATCATCAACTGAATGAGGGTGTGGGGCATCAGAGTCTTCAAATAAATCAAATACAAATTCGTAACTTTCGATAACATTTTAAAAGCTTAAATTTAAATGAATTAAGGTCTAAATTTGAATCAATTAAAGTTTAACTTTAAACGAATTATAAAGGATTATAAGAAGTTTTTTTAAATTTAAATAAATTTTGGATACAAAGTTTAAATTTAAAAGAAAATAAGTTTAAATCAAATGTAAATATAAGATGATTAAATATTGCTACATATGGACAGGCATAGTAACGTCTTGTGAGTCAATCGAATACGAAGGAGGGCAAAAATTGAGCTCGGTCGTGAAACAAAAATGTTGTTTACTATTCAGGAGGCTGGGAAATGGCCTCACTTACCATCGAGCTGTGGCTCGGGGGGAGAGCATTTGAATACAAATAACGAATAGCTTTTACTTCATCTCAAGACCCATTTTACTGCAGGTCTGCCGATAGGCGGCGTCCAATTTCACTTGGCGCACGACATCCAAAATCAGAAAATTTTTCAAGTTTTAGTACTTCAAAGCCGTAGCAACTAGAATTTGCATTTGGTTATCATTAAGAACTACGAAATTATATTCTATCGTTTCTCTTTCTATTCATCAAGTTCGCGTCTTTGCGTGAGGTTACCTATGGTTTATGTAACGCCGGTAGCCAGTATAAACTTTGTTTATGCTAGATTTTTCATTTACTAGTTTTGTTCGTTTCGTTGCTTTTTGCAAGCGCCGTGGTACTTTTGTTTGAGAGTTTTTGCTACCCTACTTGGTTACGAGAACACAACTGTGTGCCTTAAAATGTCTGGGGAAGGTGAAATTTTGCAAAAAACCTCGTTTTTCTTGCATTGTTCGGGAAAGTTCGACAAGTTTGGAATGCTGTTCCCACCATTTCACACTGAATCATCTCTTTTAATCGTCCGCAGAAATTTAGCGAAATATGTGATTATAACCCAAATAAACGAATGCCTTGTCACGTGATTGCGCATGAACATAATAATAAGAGTGAACAAATCTGTGGTAATCGTTAAGTGCGCCCGTCTGATAGCCTTGAGTCAGAACGTTGTTCCACCACCTCTGAAGGTGAGTATTAACCAATATGCTAGTTGAGGCTCAAATGTAAACAATTAGAAAAATGCATCATCATCATGTACTAGAAACTCAGTTTTGGTGCTTTGAGTCCGGCATAAACCTAGCTTTAAATGTGTGATCTGTAAGGCCGTTCAGGATCGCTTAGCACTTCGTTATCGATACGTAGTAGTCTGGATTGGCTAAGTTCCCTTGATTCATCAAATTTACCAAAATTTAAGGACTACCGGTCTTTTATTTGCTAACACAAGCAAACATTTCTAGCCCCTAATCCTTTCTTAGGGGGAAGGGGGGAGAAGGGTCCATATCCGATTTTCTGGAGTGCAAAAGCCTTCCAGTGATTTGAAAACCTTGACCGGATGCCGGTCATTTAGCAGCACCGTAAAATCTAGCTTCAAGGCATTTACTTTTTAAATTGAAGAGGCTTGTTAGCGCATATGTTTTACAATCTACAGAATATATTTGAGATGGATCTATTTCAAATGCTAGTGGTGTCAGCTTTTTAACTCCGTTTGTTAAAAGGCGAACAAGATTCCACGCATATTTTTGAGCTTGAAGAATGGGCTACTGTATGGAAATATAAAGTCAACTTGGCATGGCTATCTCGTTTTCTTTAGTAAGCTACTCCCTCACGAACGTAAAAAAGGAAGGAGCTTGAAAACATATTTTCATTCCGACATTTCTTGATTTTCTCAAAGAATGATTTTCAGACGATTTCAAATGTTTTAATTTAGCGAGATCCTAAATGAGGTCATGCATGCATCCATTTGCTGCCTTAATAACTTGTGTGGCGTCGCATTGCAAATTCCTACGTTAAGCGACTCGAACTTGTTGTTAAAGAGCTTATTTTTGTGTGAGATATAGATGCTGAAGAAATGAAGCATTTTGCCGAGAGATGTCCATCATTCAGACCACATTAGAGCGCGCTACTTTGCAATGCAGTAAACTAGCCACATGCCGGCAGGATCACTACGGTTATCTTTTGTTGCTAGCTTGAAAATTTAATTTGTATTCGTAGTGAGAACTTGTGAAATAATTATTTCCAAAAAGGAATAACTAAGGGAAGAAATGCAATACATTCATGATTACAGTGAAGACAATACGAGATATAACATTTTGGCTCTCAAACTTCAATTTATTTCATTCAGCCGCACAAGGTTTTTTTTAAGGACATCTTAAGTCAAGCGCAGCAACAAAATGGAGAATGAAATGTCGATATCATAGGGCTTGAATATGCGTTTGCACTTTGTTGAGCCTCTAAAGGGGCAATCGAGGTGTTACGCTTTTAAGTTAGAAGTGAAATCGAGGGCTTGTTTTTCTAAACAAGTCATGCATAGCGCTAGACAGAGAAAGTCACATTTTCTTTATTACTTGCAACTGCTCGTGTTTACCAATAAAACTTCTTGTCGAGGATAAGATAACTCTCTTGGATTGGTGCCTTAAGAACACTTTATTGTGGCCGACTTCTGAAGAAGACAGAGCTGAACTCAGCCACAATGTCGTTGCCATCTTAAAATTTTAAATGGCCTAATTTCTTTGTAGGATTAGTGACCTAGAACGAGGAGAACACGATGGATCCAGTGATACCAGCCGATCAGTTAGGACCAAAAGTTCTGGAAGAAGTTTTCAAATCAATGTCACCCACAAATCGGGGAATTGCCATTGGCATCGCTAATGAAACATCCCATCAGTGGAATGCAATGAATGCATACTTCTATTCTGGTTCCCCCGGCCCAAATGTCCTACCCGAGTTCGTGAAGAGCCAGGAAGCAATTCTGTATACGGCCACGAAACCAACTGGTCTACCAAGAGGAAGTGTGGGGGTGATTACCTTCTTTATCCCAGATGACAACATGACCGTAGCAGTCATGTTCAGTGTACCATTCGACCGCAATTTGTTTGAAAACTGGTGGGATGCCAAGGTTTATCGCAATAAGACAGAAGCTGACTACAATGTGTGGTCTTTCATGTATTACAATCACAATCCCTTCCGAGGTGATGACGGCTGGCATGAGAAACAAATAAGTGAAGGTTACCGCGTGAAGGGCATCATGACAAGCACAGGCCAATGTAAGCTGCAGTTAAAGATCTGGAAGCCGGAATCTCTACAAACTGAAATAACTGCGTGAAAGTCTTTTAGTTCTTTGTTCTATTTTTTACTTAACAGTTTTTGTTTGGTTGCAAAGTTGGCGCTGCAGTATTTTCGGATAGAATAAACATTTTGGAAGTTGCAAAGCTGTACACTAAAGACGTTTGAATTCAAAGTCGGAATTTCTTTGGGTTTAAACTATCGCGATGAGTTTCTTAATTGTGACTGTCTTGTCTGACCTCCATTAGTAAACGTGCTTAATTTGTCGACTGTTTTTGCCTTGGAACCACACTAAAATTTTTGTCTTGGCCCACGCAGTCAAAGATTACTTCGATTGATCGGATGCATTAACTAAATTGTTGTTCATTTTTGAGGTTCTGTTGGAGGTTTTTGGGTTCTGCCAACGATTGTTCTATCTTCCCAAGTCAGATGGTTAGCATGTCCATGCATGCCTAAAAATAGTAAATAAAAAAACGTGTTCTTTACAGAGACTTGTGGTGGGAGAATCAAAGAAAGAGTGATCGATCACAATTTGAGTCGGTCGACCAAGTTATCCAGAGTGAAGTAACTTTTATGAAATTAAGATTTTATAAGAAATCAACAGAGATTAAATAAGACTTAGGGAAAGGTCGAAATTAGTTCGCGAGCTGGGCCCGACAACTCGGTGGTAAAAGTACAAAAAGAAGGAATGCATAGGTTGGTCATTGCTTAAGAATATTTTCTGGCTCCTAAGGAGCCATTATTCTTCAGTTATTTCATTACAACAAGTTCCAAAGATTTTCTGTGAACATAACCGTAAAATAGTGTCAAAATAGTAAGATAATGACTTGAGTAATTAATCGCCCCCCCTAATCGGCATTAGTCATGCGTCAGTAAACACGTCTAGGAATTAGCATACTGATCGGGACTTTGTCATGGTTTCGCTGTGAAAATCCATTTTGATCAAAATATATCATATTTTTTGACAGAATGAATCATGGTACCGTAAGCAAACAAGTTGAAGATTTTGGGGCGAACTGATTTAGGTGGTGACGAACTTCTCTCATTTCAGGGGGAAATGTCGCAAAAGGCTGTAGGGGAAAATGGAAAAAACATTATACAAACCCTTTATCACAGCATTCCTGCGAAAAAGTTGAAGGTCATGTGGCATTCGAAAACACAACTGTGTGCCCGGCTTAAAATGTCTGGGGAAGGTTAAATTTTGCAAAACATTTCGTTTTTCTAGCATTGTTCAGGAAAGTTTAAGAAGTTTGAGATACTGTTCACAACGAATCATCTTATTGACTCGTCGCAGAAATTTAGCGAAAAATGTTCCTATAACCCAAATAATCGAATGCCTTATCACGTGATTGCGCATGAACTTTATCATATCAGTAAACAAATCCGTGGTATTCGTCAAGTGCGCCCGTCTGACAGCTTTGAGTCAGAACATTGCTCCACCGCCTTTCAAGGTGAGTATTTACCAATATGATCGTCGAGGCTCAAATGCAAACAATAGGAAAGATTCATTATCAACATGTACTAGAAACTAAGTTTTCGTGCCTTAAGCCCGGCGTAAACCAAGTATTAGATATGTATTAGATATGTGATCTGTAAGGCCGTTCAGGATCGCTTAGCACTCCGTTATCAATATGTGGCAATTTGGACTGGCTGAGTTTCTTTGATTCGTCAAATTTACCAAAATTGAAAGACTACTGGTCTTTTAGTGGTTCACACTAGCAAACATCTGTAGTCCCTACTCCTTTCTTAGGGAGGGGAGGGTCCGTATCCGATTTTCTGGAGAACAAAAGCCTTTCAGTGTTCTGAAAATCTTGACCGAATGCCGATCATTTGGCAAAAGCGTAAAATCTAGCTTCGAAGCATTTACTTTTTAAAATGAGGAGGCTTGCTAACGCTGAATGTTTTACGCTTTACATTATATACTTGAGATTGATGTATTTCAAATGCTAGTGGTGTAAGCTTTTTTAACTCGGGTTGTCAAAAAGCGAACAAGCTTGAGCTTGAAGAATGGGTTATTGTCTGGAGAATCCAAAGGCACCTCGCGTACCTCATTTCCTCGAATACGCTACCCCCTCATGCACGTAAAAAAAGGGAAGGGAATCGAAAATTGATCCTCAATTTCAACAATTTTCGTTTTTCCCAAAGAATAGTTCTTTAATTTCTTTTAACGTACCAAGAACCTTATTAGATTCCAAGCATTCCTTTAGGTACTAAGAGCTCGATAACTTGTGCGGCGTCGCATTTCAAATTCTTAAAGAAAAGCTAAGCGACTTGTACTTATTGTAAAAGTGCTTATTTTGCTATTAAATATAGATTCTGCTAAATCGAAACATTGTACAGATTTCCATTGTTGTAAACATACCAAGCAGCTATGCCGGCAGGATGACATAAGTAATCTTTTGTTGCTCACTTAAAAAAAATCCCATTTGGTTACGTAATGAGAACTTTTAAAATATCATGTTAAAAAAGGGATAAATAATGAAGAATTGAGGTAGATTCATTTTTACGGCGAAGGCATTTCGTGACATTATATTTTGGCTTCCACATTTAAATTTCGGTTTATTTCATTCAGCCGCGTAAGGTTCTTCACGAGCGCATGGTGAATCAAGTTAAGCAGCAAAGTTTAGAGTAAAATATGGAAATCGTCTCCTTCAATATGCATTTACACTTTGATGAGTCTCTAAAGAGGCCATCGATGTGTGACGCTTCTACATAAGAATATAAACCGTTTCTTTCTAGGCAAGTCATGCATGACACTCGACGGAGGAAGACAAATTTTTTTTTAAAAGCTGGCTGTTCCTTCGGAAAAATAATTCATTCATTCGTAATTGTTGCCATTAACCCGATAAAACTTCTTCTCGAGGGTAGGAGAGGAAACCCTCTTAGATTCACGCCTTTAAAACACTAAAATGTGGCCGAACACTGATGTAAAACCAAAGAATACGGAACTGATGTAATCAATAGTGCTGTTGCCATCTAACAATTTTAAATAAGGTCAGTGTAAAACGAAGACTGCAGACCAGGGGTAAAATGCAGACTGAGGGTAAAAATGCAGACTGAAGACTGCAGACCAGGGGTAAAATGCAGACTCGGTTCTAAAACAAACCTCTTCCCCGAAAAAACTTCAAGAGTGAGCTGAATCGAGGCCGCGTAAGTCATGAGAGGCTGGCAATAATCGTCATGGTGATGTTTCGAACTTTACTTCCTCAGATGGTTTTGGCGTTGACATATTGTTTTAAGGTAAGAACGAGAAGCGTAAATGTTTGAATGTGCAGTTCACGGCCAGTTAAATACATTTCCCTTGTTAAGGAATAAAAAGTTGTGCTGAGCAACATTAGGTAGCTTTAACATACATGTAGCTCATATACTTTGTTCGGCCTTGAAAGTGGTAGCGATAGACTTTCATCACACACCGGCAATTTCGATTACTTGGACAATAAAAACCTGTTTCTCGTACCTTTGTTTTGCGCTGTGAAGTTAGGCGTGTAAATTAATTAAATTTAATGCAAATTTGTGAGTGCCAGATAAGGGTCTGATTAAAAACCTCCAAACAATATCCCTTGGTGAAAAGATAGAGGGGCCGCAGCCAGGATAAAACATCTTATGAAATTTAAAAAAACGATCTCTGGCTAAAACTTTTAAAAATACGAGCTTTCGGATGTTTGCGCTACAGCCTTCAACGGGTAAAATGATAAAAAGGTCTATTGCGTGACTAGACTTTGATAATGTATCTATTATTGACAAAGGCGGTTTCAGAACAAGAAAAATACTAGAAGCGTGGCATTCCAAGTTAACTCCCAATGCGCAACACAATTCCTGTCCTTTGCCCGGACAATACAACATTCTTTTTAACAAACATTCTTAGTTATCAGCATTTTTAATTTTTACTTTGTACCTCACACCTAGTATATTTTTTACCTTTTTATCATTTTACCCGTTGAAGGCTGTAGCGCAAACAGCCGAAAGCTCGTATTTTTAAAAGTTTTAGCCAGAGATCGTTTTTTAAATTTCATAAAAAAAAAAAATATCCCTAGGTGTTTGCCTTTCTTATTCTGCTCGGTGTTTCACCTCAGTATTAACCCGAGGTGAGTCTGCATTCTACCCCTGGTCTACAGTCTGTAGTCCGCATTTTACCCTCACTCTGCATTCTACCCCTGGTCTACAGTCTTAAGTCCGCATTTTACCCTCAGTCTACATTCTACCCCTGGTCTACAGTCTTTAGTCCGCATTTTACCCTCAGTCTGCATTCTACCCCTGGTCTACAGTCTTTAGTCCGCATTTTACCCTCAGTCTGCATTCTACCCCTGGTCTACAGTCTCTAGTCCGCATTTTACCCTCAGTCTGCATTCTACCCCTGGTCTACAGTCTTTAGTCCGCATTTTACCCTCAGTCTGCATTCTACCCCTGGTCTGCAGTCTTTAGTCCGCATTTTACCCTCAGTCTGCATTCTACCCCTGGTCTACAGTCTTTAGTCCGCATTTTACCCTCAGTCTGCATTCTACCCCTGGTCTACAGTCTTTAGTCCGCATTTTACCCTCAGTCTGCATTCTACCCCTGGTCTACAGTCTTTAGTACGCATTTTACCCTCAGTCTGCATTCTACCCCTGGTCTACAGTCTTTAGTCAGCATTTTACCCTCAGTCTGCATCCTACCCCTGGTCTACAGTCTCTAGTCCGCATTTTACCCTCAGTCTGCATTTCACCCCTGGTCTGCAGTCTTTAGTCCGCATTTTACCCTTAGTCTGCATTTTACCCTTAGTCTGCAGTCTTCAGTCCGCATTTTACCCTCAGTCTGTATTTTACTCCCGGTCTGCAGTCTTCAGTCTGCGTTTTACACTGACCAGTTTTAAATGGCCTAATTTCTTTGAAGGAGCCTCTATGTAACTATATATTGTTGATGTATTCCTTCTTAGTCCCGCCTGTTGATATTATCAATAGTTTAAAAAGGGAAACCGAATGGAAAAAGAAGTATCAAGGGAATAACTTTTTAGATGTCGTTGTACGTTTTAATCTCACCCGGCCGAATTTTTTTTCATCACGTTTCGAACATTTTTACTTAAGCACATGGTAAATCAAGTGAAGCAACAAAGTAATTTTATCACTTGATTATGCGGGACGTTACGATTTGCTGAGTCTGTAAAGACTGCAATCGATCGTTTCTTTGGAAGAAATAACAAGTCATGCATAGCGCATGACGGAAAAAAGTTGTTTTTTCTTTAAAGCCGTTCCCATGTAAAAGAATCATTTTTAGTTGTTCGTATTTACATGGTAAAACTTCATTTTTAGTCCATTTACATTATCAATAGTTCCAAAGGGGAATTAACCGATGTGAAAGGATATCTTAAGCGATTTACTTTACAGCTCTTGTTAAAATTCAGTCGTCTCACTACGAGTTTTAGAAACTGTATAGGATCCCAAAATAGGAAAAGGCTCAAGTCTTAGTTGTCCTGAATTTCACAGACAATTCCGCCTCTTTACGACCGAATCGTTTCATTTTCGTATTGACTCAAATATGGTAAACGTTTTAATATGCCTTGAAACCTGGGTTTTATGTTTTTGACTCACAGTGACATAGAATAAGGAGAACACGATGGATAATGTGATAGAAGCCGATAAATTAGGTCCACAAGTTCTGGATGATCTTTTCAAGTCAATGCCATCCACAAAGCGAGGAATTGCCATTGGCATCGCTAATCAAACATCTCATAAGTGGAGTGGAATGAATGCATACTTCAATTCTGGTAAACCTGGGCCAAATGCTTTACCTGAATTCGTGGAAAAAGACGAAGCAGCACTGTTCACTGCAACCAAAACAACTGGCCTGGCAAGAGGAAGTGTAGGCGTCGTTACCTTCTTCATCCCCCATGACAACAAGACCGTAGCAGTCATGTTTAGTGTACCATTCGACCGTAATTTGTATAAGAACTGGTGGGATGCCAAGATTTATCCCAGTAGGAGAGAAGCTGACGATAGTATGTGGTCTGACATGTACTACAATGATAAACCTTTCAAAGGGGATGACGGCTGGCACGAGAAAACTATAGGTGAAGGTTACCGCGTGAAGGGCATCATGACAAGCGAAGGCCAATGTAAACTTCACGTAAAGATCTGTAAGTGAACCTTTACAAACTTTCTTGTAAAATTTTGAAATTACCGCCTGAAATTCGTATTAATTTTGCTGTTATTTACATGATAGCTTTTTTTCTTGTGAGATAAACAGTTCAATATTTAGTCGCAAAAATGGCGGCGAGGAAGTGCTTCAGATAGCATTGAAGGCTTCATAGGACAGCGTTTTTTCAGATAGAATAAACATTTTTTCGGTCACAAAGCTGTACAAATGATTCATTTAAAGGCCTCGCATTAGAGTATTTAATGTTTCGCGTCAAAGTGGCTTGATGTTAGACCATGAGCTATTAGGCTTTTCAGTCCATTTTACGGTTAGAATCATGGTTTTATGCGTCCACCAGGTCTCATAGTTAGTGCAGAATGTCGAAGTCTATCGCCAAACTACCATGTATTGAATCGACTTAATCAACTTTATATTAAAAGAGCTTTGCCAAGGTATTCTATATTTTCTTCGGGGAGACAGGGGGGGGAAGGATTGGGGGACTGGAGGGTGGGATGGTATCTTAAGCTGTTAATTTTAGTGACGTCTTGCAAATCGAAACGTTTAAACAGAAGTCTGCTTATTCAAACCCGAGCATTTTCTTGGAGACATTCCTCTTTTTAAAAACTTGAATGATCGTGAAACTTAAAGAACACTCATAAATTCACATTATTAAATGGTTTCCAGATTAATCAAACTTTAATACATAGGCTGTAGAAGGTCTGGATTTTCCAGCTAAGATAACAGATGAGAAAAAAGGCTAAACTCAGCTTGGAACCAACTATTTTTCCTTCGTAAACTCATCAGTGGCAGGCTTCACCTGAAAGAAAAAAAATGCATTTAACAACAAAAATAAGTGTATTTCCATCTGATCGAGAGTTTCGAAACAAAACCCACAGTTGTCACAACGACAGATCGGAAGAAAGGTCAGTAAAAACAACAAAAAGAACAAAGCTGAAGGAGCTAGGAAATAAGAACTCAAAGGAGCTAAGAAGTAAACTTTCTTATGTGCGAGAAAAAAAGGAATGACATATCAAGAAAGAAGAAAAGCAAAGACAATGCCGACACTTCAGTTACATTTAATCTGGCAGTGATGGCGCTCAAGTCCGATCAACTGGTGATCATCGGAGATCTTCAAATAAGAGAAATATTCAAGTTTCACACCCTGACTCGATTTCAAACTTATTCGTCTATAAACACACACATTATAGTCTGAATGGAAACGATATCACCTGTAGATCAAAACAATGTAGTCGGATTATTTAAACAAAACTTAGCCGTTGTTTAGCAAAAACGCGTCCTAAACAATCATTCGATCAATTTAGCTAAACCTTAAATCTGAACATTTATTTTTGTGAACAGTGTCAAGAGGGCGAAAGCTAAAAGTGGAACGACATTTATTTGTTTAAATCAACCCTCTTACAGAGAATCCCTGAGGCCCACTAATTGCGTAAAACCCTGGTTTGGGTGAGAACCCGTTAAATAACCGTACGTATATATATATATATTTTATTTAACTGTGATCCTGTTCTGAATGCCGCTTGTTGGCCTTCTTTGTCGTCCTATGGGGTAGTCATGTGTTAGATGAGGAACGAAAAAAATAGTAATCTCTTAACCCTTTCACTCCTATGATCATATTAGTAATTCTCCTTACTGTCTGCCATACAATTCTTATGACCTTAGTGAGGAGAATTTGGTATTGGATCAACTTATAATCGCCTATTGAACAAATCTTTTATATTCTCATCACTTGTCGGCCTTCTCGATATTGTAAGGAAAAACTATGTCTTGGTCACTCATGGGAGTTAAATGGCTGAGCCCAAACCTCAAGAACAGTTGTCAGCGGTACATTCTCCAGTGGATGAACAACCGCTGTTTACACACAGTGAACGGTCGCTACAGGAACAACCGGGTCCAAAACCACCGCAGTCTGGGCAGATATTAGCTGTAAAATAGATTAAATTGTTTTTAAAAAACTATAAATTATCAGACGACGAGAAGCTCTGTCGCTAAAAGCAATAAAAAACTTCACAATCTTTCAAATGCTTGTGAGAGAATGAAAAGTTACCCTTTTTAGATGGGAACATAATCTTTCATAGCTGTTTTTCCATAAATCATCTATGGCAGTGCAAACAGCGAAGCCTTTAACAACATCTACTGGAAAGTTTTATTTATGTTTGTCACAAGTGTACGCATCGATGTATCCAGTAGGTTCAGCCTCTTCAGTGTGCCTCCGCCAGACGTCATAATTTTTGGAAACTAAAGGACGGTTTTCGAGTGTCTGCTTTGACGAGTTGGCTGTAACTATGCCGTTGTTTTGACATTGCCTTCAATTTGGAATAAAACGTGTTTGTTACCTTCCCTCTTTGGTAAGGCTTCAAGCATCTCTCTCACTTTAGCTAAAAGATCTAGAAGTAACATGTGAAAACAAACCAAATCAGTCGTGCCAATCACTGCTTTAGACTTAAACAATAACAGACGACAAAAAAAATTAGATTGAATTAATTGTTTGTTTCCTGAAATCTGATTGGTCTGTTGGCGTTTGTAACCATGTTCACAGTAAGCGTACTGTAACTCCCAGAAGTATTTGACATGTAATTTATTGTAATATCATTAAATTTATTTATCTGCCTGAGGGGTAGATATTTTTGTTATCTTTTGACTCCCAAATCTAATACTGATTTATTGATACTCTCAACTGATTTCCAAGGAAATATGGGGAAATTTTTCTCTTACCTCTGGTCTTTGAAGCATCCATCACTCGTCGGACTGTTACCATAATAGAAACAAACACTTATATGTTAATTGTCCATGGTGTAACCTAATTTCATTTTATTTTCGCGTCATGAATACTCCTCAATGCAAACATTTCTTAAAACAAAATAACAATTGCCGCAGGCCAGCAGTGTTATCCACAGAAATTCGTCTCAAAATCAATTAAAAAATGTAAACTCAAATTGACTCAGGGTTTTTGCAGTGAATAAATATTAGTGGGTTTGGATCGGCTTGAAATAAAAGATTTCTCTGGCTAGGGCGTGGTTATCGTTGCCCGAACAAAAAAGCGCGCACAAGTAAAACGCGCGCACTCTTGATTTGAGCAAAACTTTCATAATTCCATCTCAATTTTCCACCTGGAAATCGTCGGATAGTTTAGAAAATCTTATCACTACTAAGATTAAAATATATTGCTTTTTAAATCAGTTGTTTCTTGACTTTCAATAATCTTACATTGCGCGCGCGCCAACTTTCACTAGTTAGGCTTACAGGCAACAGTTACGTTACTCTTTCTAAACAATAAAATAATCCTATTATAAAAGGAAAACGCGTACAATTTTAATTTTAGCAAACTATAAGATAGTAACTTGCTATCCCTCCCTATTTTTTGCCCTAAAAATCATTGTATAGATCTTAAAGCTTTCTTTTTTTCAGCTCAAGTACAAGGCTTTTCAAATCAGTTATTTTGTTACTCTCAACAATCTCAAATTGCGCGCGCCAATCTTCGTTTGCTAAAAAGTCTTGTTTTTTATCTAGCAAATAAAATCTTTCTACTTACATTTGTCTGGATATCGTGCATCTGAGTAGACTACAATGCAAAGTACCAACAGAGCAATTGTGATGTTCTTCATCTTGGCACAGTTTGAAAACTTCTCGAGGCTGATCAGGAATCTAAACTGGAAAAATAACAAGCACTTGGGAGATGTCTCTCGTACGGGTTGATGGTGCAACTGAAGACTGCAACTTGAGTTAAGTTTGTTATATAGCATACACTCACAATAGAATCGAGAATGTATCCATTGTTTGGCCGCAAAGAACCGGAACAAATTTGAAATTATTCATCTTGATTTCCCGCCTTCAAGTTTAAATTTTAGTTATTTCCGAAAAATTTGTACATACCAACTTTCAAATTTTCAGTTTCCTTGTTCAGGTTTACATGAGTGTTCGTAGAAGGGGTTCGGTTTAAGATATATTTGATGCCATGATATTACACAACGTTTCTGCGGGAAATTTTTACCGGACAGGATAACTGCACGAGTATCGAGATGATTTCGAATTAATTCAAAGAAGAGTAAATAGTTTGTTTGTTAAACCTCATTTAACTGATCAAATAGCGACCCCAAATCTTAATTAACCATCTGATTTTCACAAGCTGAAATCAATCACACAACAATTAACGTCAAGATTCACGTTGTTTTGATTAGCTCACAGGAGAGTAGTAAAACAATTCAGATGTCAAATTTTCCCACACAGCAATTCCGGGCATAATTAAGTCTTGGAAACATTTACTATCTCTCTTATTTCTATCTACAAACATTACGCTATCGACATTGCTAATCCTAGCAGTACTGCAGGACGCGTGTCATATGAACTTCGTAATAGACCTCGCTCGCCGTAGAGTCTCTGCGGCTCAGTGGTAGAGAATCGAAGCGCGGAATCCGAAGTTCTGAGGTTTGATTCCTCATGGGGACTCAGAATTTTTTCTTTGTCCCACGCTCGTGACAAGACGAATAACATCTTTCTTTATTTTGATAATTGTATCACGCTTCGTTGGGCACAGCTTTTTAATGGCAGCCCCGAATTTATCAGGAGAGTCGGCACTCTCTCTGAATATCCAGATGATATCTGCCCTTGCATTTCTTAATAAGGCCTGTCACTCTGTTACGGTGTCACTTGTACGCAGACCAGTCAAGTTCACAGTTAGTCCTACGAGCTCTCTTGAGTAAACCGTCCCTTATGGTTAGCTTGTTGCAGTTTTTGTCACCAGTAAAAATACATTCTTTGTTTTCTGATGCTAATGTCGAAAGTGTTGATTCAAATTTGCAATTGAAATCTGCACAAAGATGCTTTGAAGAATCTGGAGGGCGGTAAATAATTCCAATAAGAAAACTTTTGGTTTTTGGAAATAAAATCTCAATCCAGGTGCATTCAATGTTCTCATCTTCAAGATCCGTTCGTCTGTGGAATGGCACAGATGAGGAGTTGTAAAATCCAACACCTCCATCTTGACCTGAATTTCTGGCCTTTCCAATAGATGTGTATCCCTCAGTTTGTACGTACGCCTAATTAACGGCGGATAGATGAGCTATAAATGGCCTATTTTTTTGTAGGATTAGGCGTAATAGAACGGTCTGCTTGCATAATTAGGGTTCGATATAAAAGATTTAGGTTGGATCAGAACAAATCAGATATATCACCTTTAACTTGGTGATACAGGTTTCGCAAAAAGGAAATTCAAAGACTGACGTGGAATTTCCAATTAACTTTTTAATAAGCTTTCAGTAAATTATATCAAAAGCATGATCACTTCATACTCGAAGGAGTGTAAAAATCTCGAGTTCTTCAAGTCTGACATTTATAGTTGTCAAACCACTAGGATGCACCAATCAGAGCTGTTGAATAACAACTAATCACAGCAGAGCATCATGCTTTATAAGATCGCGC